GGGTGAGAATGGCACACTCTCCTCTGCTCCCAAAGAGGAGTAGGATTAGCTTTAAAATCTCTTCCCCCTCAACTCTATTGTGCTTGGTCTGAGCTATGCCTGTGTCTGTTGAGAACAGTTCTGGCATCTTTGCATCCACCACAAACACTGCCTTCCTGGCTCCTGGCCCATGCAGAAATTCCCTAAAGTAGATTCTAGCCCACGGGTCTGAACACACACTTCCCTCAAAACTGCCTGGTTCATGAAAGTAGGGCTACTCCTACTTAAGAACAGACTCTGCTGCCAGACTGTAGCTGGGCAGCTCAGCTGTTTGACTTCAGGCAACTTACTGAACTCCTCTACGCCTCAGTCTTTTGAAGATTAAATGAGTTCTTACTTCAGCAGTGCTTAGAACCATGCCAGGCATATAAGAAATATAAATGTATGTTAAGGAAAGTGCAAACCCTCTGGGCAATGCCATTTCCAAATGTTTCTGGTTCACACTTGTTTAATCAAGTCCCATCAATTTCCCACTCCTTTTACATCCTCCATGGAGGTTGTTACTCACTTGAATATCTTTTCTTTAGATCGAAGATTATTTTTGTTATTATCTTTACGTTGTTGTATAAAGAAGCTACTATTTAATAAGGCAGTTTATAAATACAATCCATCTTGATTAATGTCTCCCCTTTCAACATTCTTACCTATCCCTTCTCTATTCACCCCATCCCTCACTCTTCTTAATTTTGTAGGATAAACATTAAATTCTTGATTACAATCGCCCCCTCTTCTCCTCTTCACTTATCTACTCCTTTCTCCTTTACCCTACCCCACACTACTTAAGATCTCCCTCGAATCAATCATATTTCAGTTAAGGCATTGTGTACACTTGCACACCACTCAATATCTTTGCTTATAAGCTAATAAGCTGAATCTAGCTAGTACATATAAGGGAAAACATGTATTCTTTGTCTCTATGGGCCAGACTTAAAAGTTTTTTATCAAGTCTTTCCATTTCATTACAAATGGTTCAATATCATTCTTTTAAAAGGATGAGTAAAACTCCATTGTGCATATATATCACTTTTTTATCCATACATCTACTGAGGGGCCTCTGGACTGATTTCATACCTTGGCTATGGTGAATAGTACTGCAATAAACCTGGTGTTGATGGCTTTACTATATCCTGGTTTGTAATCTTGGGGTAAATGCCCAGGAGTGGAATCACCTTCCATACTGCTTTCCAGAGTGGTTGAAAAAGTTTACATTACCACTAACAGTGTATTAAGGTTCCCTTTTGGTTGCATCTTAGCAAATATCTGTTACTGTTTGTTTTCTTGGTAATGGTCAATCTAATTGCATTGAGTGGAATCTCTGGTCTAAATGATCTAAAGAGAGTCTTCTCAGAAGGAGCAAAAATGGCCAATAGACACATAAAGAAATACTCACCCCTCTAGTCATAAAGAAAATGCAAATCACTTGAATGAGAACACCATCCACTTCTTGATGTGTCCTACTTCATTCCTAAACAATTCTTTGTTTGGGGGCATACTTGAATGGAGCAGCAGCACCACAGGATCAAGAGGATCCTGACTGTGCCCATTCACTCTGAGTCCTGGCAAGACTGGACCTGAGCACCAAGTCTAGGACATGTGCCTCCTAGAGAAGCTCCCTAGATAGGAAGAAGACTGGGTGTTTACTGATGCCATGGTGGTCAAGCTGGGCCTAACAAGAGCACAGAGCAGCTAATGACCTCTGTGTGTTCCCCAAAAGGATTCACGGTAGCACTATAAATGACAGCAATGTAAGCTGCTCAAACCTAGAAGACTAGATGCTTTACAGGAGTGATTTTTTTTTTGAGGACGGAGAATGACAGTAAGCTAACCCTGGTGAGATGTAAGTGTAGGTATGTCTTGTGCAGGTAGAGTTGGCACAGGGACATTCTCTGTGTGGACAGTGGAGGAGGAACAGGGTGAAAAGGCAAGAGGGCAGGTGAGCTAGTTTTAGAAGATTTTAGGCTTAGAAAGTGAACATTGGGCAGTGAAATTGGTACTGTCTTTTGAATTATCACATTAATTTCCTTATTCTATGTCTAATCTCTAGATTAATGCATTATTTACGTATCCCTTTTTGACAGCAGCCCTGTCAATAACAGAAATGTGTCAGTGGTCTTCCTTCAGTAGGTAAAAAGGTGAGATAGTTTTGGTGAGGGCAAATTGCATTTGATCATTTTTAAGATTTCTTCTGGTCCATTTCAGAGCTGTCTTCCCTCTGCTTGTTTATAGTAATATCGTCATCTCAAAGGATGTAAAATGTAAAGGAGTCAGAAACATTTCAATTTAAGAAAAGCAGCTACAACTTTTTTTTAAATCCCACAACAGGGTATTGATATTAGCAACCTTGGAGATGAAATACAATTATTCTAGTAGCTACATACTGCATACTTACTGTGTACACTAAAGGTGCTATGACCAGACAGCATGAAATATGAGTGCGATGTGGTTCCTTACCTCATGGAACTCACAATTTATGAAGGTCACACTCAAACACTAAAGTAGACAAGGCATTGTAACACAATGTTTGAGAAAGTGGATGCTAAACAGTATTGTATTGGCAAATATCTAACACCTGGTGATCTGGAACAAATGGTAGATGTCCTGAGTTATATTTCCTTTTTCTACAGTATAATTACTTGCCCTGTAGTTTATTTCAAGTAACATGATGTCATTGAATACATTGAATGCAGAGATGATAACAATGGACCCCTTAAAGTTGGTAGGAGCTGATTCTAGAAATGATCTGTCTGTATTTAAGTTTCAGCTCTGGAACATACTGGTATACAACATGTACCAGTTTCCTAATTTGTTAGCTTCAGAATCTTCATTTGAAAATTAGGTGGGAAGTATTGCTTACCTCATGGAATCATTTGAGGGTTCCATGAGACAGTTCCATGTTCCACTTAGAACAGCCTCTGATGTGTATTCTCATAAGTGAAAAATGCATTATTATTATTATGAAGTACGAAGAGGATGAAGAGATGGTTTTCAGACCTGAGGTTCTGGGATTTAAGAAAGGGATACATCTTTCTATGGATGGGATGATTGGAGTTGTGGATTGAGTTTTTCCCCATCTCAAGATTTGATGGACAGTGTATCAAAGCCAGGAAAAAAAGAAAGTCATGTTCTGAATTTTTTTTATATAGCTCAGTTTGGCTGGCATATAGGTTATATTATTTTAGAAGCAAGGAGACTGTATGATTTGAAATTTAGCTAGATCTTCTGAGGGATCTAGAAGGCCAGAAAAGTAGACCTACTTCAGAAAACAGTGACTTAAAGGTAGAAGAGTGATATGAGTCCAGGTATTCCCCACAAAACTTTAAATGAGGAGTGACACAAGTATCCAAGTGATGTGAGGCAACGACTTCATTTTTATTCTATCAGTAAGAACAAGTTTTGACAAGTCTACTGTAGTACTGAAGAAAACCTAGACACACTCAGGCTCAACCTTCATTCAGTGCTGCAACTGGAAGCCCAGTTGGGCCAATGGCAGCTTTCAGATAGTTTCAGATGGGTGTGTCTTCCTTATTGATGGCTACAAAATTTCCAGTCAGGTAGATGTTACAGAGATAGATGATCTCACTGAGTGGGGTCTTCAGTTCACAGAATCACTAATACAAAATAAATTGCTGCCCTTTCAAAGAGACTTGCATATAGAACTTGCTCAAATATTACTGAATAGGAGACTGACTTTCAACAGAGCTGATTGAGGGAAAAATTGCTTGGTTAATATTGTTTTCAGAATGTTATTTCTTTAGAAAACACTTCGTTTCAAAATGGTTCATTTGCTCTGGATTTAATTTTTAGCATTCCAGGCTTTGTTTTATAAACAATGTTCAAAGAGCCAAGTTTTATTTAACAGTTTACAAATTGCCTCAGACCAGACTAATTTTCTAATAGCTTTATTTGTAAACTGTTGTAAATGTGCACTGGCAAATGTTGTCCCTTTTTATCCCTGTGAGACGGGAATTAGAAGAGTTTAGAGTTAGAGGGACCTGTGCAATCTAGTTAAAGACTCCCAGTCTTCATAAGATTCCTTCGTTGTATTCGTTGTTATGGGTACTTGACAGAAACTCTGCCAGGATTATTCATGGTGAGTAAGAAAGAAAGTTCTCAAGTAATTTATGTTCTCAATGGGAGGCAGGCAGTAAACAAAAATGAAATCCAGATAATTAAACATTGTGGTGTATGCTCTGAAGGGAATAAAGAGTTTCATGATAGTGAGGATATGGGTGGAAAGAATACTTCAGATATCATTGTCAGAAGGTGATATTTGAACTGAGACTTGAATGAAATGGAGCCAGTCATTAAGAGCTTGGGCATGAACATTGAAGGCAGAGAGAACCCTGGTACAAAAGCAACAGTGAGCTTGGTATTGTTAAAGCAGCACAGTGGGTAGGTAATGAGGAAAAAAGGCATAGGTGACATAGACAAGGACAGGATTTTGAGGACTTGGAATTTCTGAGAATGAGGAGGTTTCAGAGGAGAAGGATCGCGCATGTGCTGGGAGATGAATCAGCCTGTTGAGTTACCAAGAGTGCCAGCAGCAAGGTTATGCAGGAAACGAAAATGTAAAGAGGAAACAAATAACTCAGTCAAAACCATTTAGATAATTGGTGGTAAAATTAACCTAGAACCTAGGTTTTGTACCTCAAGATCCAGTGTTTTTGTACTTTTCCATGAAAGAAAATGACTATGGAACTTTAGCACTTATAAAGAAATATCTGAAACAATCATTTTCCTAGTCAGCAAAATAAAGTCACATAGAGAGCTTTGTACTCAGTGCGTATGTGGCATGTGTGTGAGCGTGTGTATGTGTGTATGTATGTATGCACATGTGGACTAGAAAAATTGAGAGCTATATGCACTGTACTATCATGAGAACCATGCATGAGGCAGACATACATACTGTCTAACATCATCTCCATTCTTTTTTTTCTCTAACACACAGATCTCTTATTTTGTTTAAGGTGACACTGTGGTATGTGTGAGAGAAATTAATATATAGTTGCTATAGTCTGATGATAAATGCTCATAAAAATATGGGATAGGATGAGCTATGTGGTAAAGTCAAAAGCTATGGATTTTTCTAAATTTAAGAAGTATTTAAAGACAACTATAACAAAGCCCTAGTATCACTTTTAGGACAAATTCAGCCATCAGCTTTCACAGAAAAAAAATGTAGGCTCATGAATCAGGGATTGTTAAAATATGGGCATTTGAATTATATTAGGAGAGGGAGACCAAAGGGCATGAATGACGGCACTGCATATTAGCTTAATGTGATTAAAAAGACTAGGCAAGTTGGAGGTTCCTTGAGACCCTATGAGAATGCATCTGAAGGCAGCTCAGGAGATCTTGATACTTTGGGGGGGGATTAAAGGTCATAGCACTTCCTCTCTCCAGGTTAGTCTCAAGCAAGATGTTGGTGGTCTTTGGAAGGTCACCCCTAAGCTCATTCTAGGAATTTCCATATCATTGAGAATCAACCCTCCCCCCCATAGATTCACTTTACCCATACTGACGTTGCCCTTTGAATGTGTATTTTTCCCCTTATACATACACAGTAGTGGACCTTAGACTATATCTCTCATTAACTGTTTACTTGTAGTGATTGCTACATAATTTAAAACCCTAGGACAGCATGAAGTAGTACTATATGTTACCCCATGTATGTGACTCTTATCTAACTCATGAGAATAGATAAATGATCATTAAGCTGGTATATAGGAGCAAGAAGAACCCCAGCCTCTCCATTCTCCCAAAAGTGTCTAGGTGCATGATCATTACATACCCTTCCTTGTGTTCTAACCCTGGACTTGACTAAGTAATTCAAATGAGTATTGTCTACTTTAGTTGTGATATTGAGCACTGATTTCTATTTTCTAGATTTGTGTTCACCTCATGTCATCCACCCACTAATCTACCCCTGTGGCATGTACTAATGGTTTTCTGATTTCCATTATTTAAAGTTCTCTTTCCTTGTGGGGGCATCTAGAAAGTAAAATATTTGGAAGGTTGGAAAGGCTGGCCATAAACTAGCAAAGACCGGTGGTAGAGGCAGCTCAGAACCACCAACAGCTTACATACAGAGTGATGAGATCCCAGTAGGTATTTTAGTCCTTACAACATCCTCTCTTAATGTGGCCTGTACTTCATATTAAAAGCAGAATTTGTATGAGATGTGAAAACTGCTTATGGCTCATGTGTGGGGAATGCAGTTATCGTGGCAATTTATTTTTTGTTTAAAAACTAAATCTTAATGTATTTCTTGACTTTACTTGGCTTCAAGTCCAAGTGATGTCCCAGGAAACACTGGCTTTGTGCTCATTACTGGTTCTGAGGTGGGAATTTAAATAATTTTCAGGTTTGGGCAGAGGAGAGGAAAGAGATCAGGCAGCAAGGATACGCTTTTCAAAAATGCACAGCCTCATGAAAGTTTGGTTTCCCATCACCATTTATATTCCTGAGGAATAGACGTGTCTCTCACTCTGCAGCAGTGTTTCGTGACATTTGGATTTACAATGTTCAAGTTGAAGTCTCTAGCCCCTTGCAGTCTGTCAAAAACAGCTTCTTTGTCCATTTATTTTTGTCTTCCACACCCAGTCTGAATATCTTTTGTAAATTTATACTTGACAACCCTCGTATTTCAGTAGCTAGCTTCGGTTTCACAATCTACCTTGCTTGCTTGGTTACATTAGCTGAAACAACAAATTTAATCCATGATGTCAATAGTAAATTATAGCAGAGAAGTAATATATGTCTGACATCATAAAGGTCAAGGCCATGGTAAAAACTGCAAATTCGGGAGCCATTGTGTTTGACCAAGCGGTAGGCTTTTGCTAAACACTAACATTATGAAAATCAGATTAGCACTAAAAGCTGCATTTGGCTAATCTTATTTTTTAATATCTTTTTTAATGGAAAATTTCTAGAAGCAGAAAGCTCTTCTACTCTATACTGCACCATGGATTTTGTTCCCATGGACATTGGCTATGTAATTATATTTTATATTTGGTAGTGGATAAATAATTAAAACGAGAATTACTTTCCTGAAAAGATTCATTTAGAGCCCACATTTTCTATTACCATAGCTATTCGATGGGGGAGGGGACATTGCCTCCTACCTACCTAAACTACCTTACCATTAAAGTATCTAAATTACCTTGGTGAATTCTGAGCACAGAAGTGGTTGATGAATTGCTTTTGCATAAATGCACTTCCCTTTGCTAGAATCTAATTTTATGGAACACTCGTGTGTGCGCTAACACATACACACACACACACTCACCAAGAGACACACATATACCAAAGCAACCACTGAACCCTCTCAAGAAGAAAAATTGAAGGCTGGAATTTTCTCTATATAATGAAGTTTTTTTAAACGTTGCCAGTAATATAAGCATCTCTGAGGAAAGCCCAAATGGTTTCATCTCCTGTAGGGAAGAGCAGTTCATGAATCATTGTTTCCATGCAAAAGGGTTTCATTCCTTTAACTGGTGCTATCAATTGTACAGGCAGATTTTTTTTTTTAAGGATCAGAATTTGATTCTGGTTTAAACTCATTTATTATAAGTAGAAAGAAAAAATAAACCTTCTTCATAGTGAACCTAAAAGCCATTGTGTGGGTGAGGATGAAAACAGGGTCTGAGAATCTGTGTCTCTTTGTCCTTACAAAGCGCTTAAGTAGTTTGGTCTGTCACTGGGCACAGTTTCAGCAGCCCAGGAGGGTTCTTAAGCAGTGACATCGCTCATTTGGCTCAGATGTATTTTCATTTGTTAATGAGAAGCATTCATTAGAGTTTCCATGTGTCTTTACTGAAAGTGTTAGGAAGAATCCTGTGTCTGAACCCTAAGATCTGACATGGTAGAATTCTTTGGTGTTAAGTATTAGCTCATGGTAAAACCATTCTCTGTTTGTGGCCCTGAGAAAGGAAAAAATGACTTTAGTCTTCCATGTACACAGGGATAACCAACTACTTATGGGACTGAGTTTTATGTGTAAGCAAATTGGAGCAATGGATCCAATAACCTTGACACAAACAAGATGACAAAGTGGAAGGAGCTTGCAGTGCCTTTACTGAGGCTCATCGGGGCGATCTTCCTGCCTCCATTTACTGCACAATATGTATTGAGTTTGGCCCTTGATTAGAGGAGAAGAGGGAATGAAGCACAAGTGGAGGAATCCACGTGTCTGGGCTTGTTTCTCTGCCTGGCTTTCCCTCACCACTAGCAAGCTGAAGAAACATCGCTTAAATTGACCATGGCTCAAGTTCATACATGGAAAGAAAATGACTCCTGGTACCAAGATTATTACAATTAGTAACTATCTATTTTTATTTCCAAGATTTCATTAACTTGTTGATTGGTACCCATGGATTGCCCAAAAGAATGAGAATGAGATACAATTCGTGCCTTCAAGAACATTCAAATACAAAGTGATGTTAAAAAAAAAAAACAAGGCCCTGAAATTGTCTCTCAATCTTTTCATTTTATTTTTTGTTGGTCTTGGGGCCTGAACTCTGGGCCTAGGCGCTGTCCCTCAGCTCTTCAGCTCAAGGCTAGCGCTTTACCACTTCTACAACTTGAGCCACTGCGCCACAGCACCACGTCTGGCTTTTTCTGCTTATGTGGTGCTGAGGAATGGAACCCAGGGCCTCATGCATGCAAGGCAAGCACTCTACCACTGGGCCACCTTCCCAGCCCCTTGTCTCTCTATCTTAATCCTTCTCTCTGTCAACTGCTACAGGGAAAGGTGGGACAGAAGAGTGCGGTGTGGCATTCATGAATAGGATCATCACAATCTAACATGGAGCATACTAACACACTGGCAGCAGTACCAGCACTGACTTAACATGACAATATAAGCCACTGATGACTTGGATTTGTTCATTTTCTCTTACTGGACTTTTCCTTCACTTGACTATGAGTAGAAGCTTGCATAAAGTTGTCCTTCTGCTCTAGGCTATGTGGCTGCTGTTTTGGATAAACAACAGCCATAATTAACAATTATTGAGTGCATTCGTTTGCTCTGTGCTTTGCATTTCAATATCTGTTTCTTATTCAATATTTGGAACAACCCTTGGAGTTAGCTATTTTCCCATTTTACAAGTAGAACATTGGTACTCTGGAAGCTGAAGCAAGAGAATCTTGATTTCATCCTGGGCTATGTAGTGAGACCCTATCTAAAATGAAACAAGCAAATCTTTTAAGATTACATGCATAGTAGCTTGAAGTTGGCCTTGACTTGATTTCATTTGAGTCAAGTTGTCTACTCCTGTTTGAAAAATCCATTTAATCCATCCATTCCTGCCTACCTCAAATGATCAGATTCCTAACAATTAGCCACTTGCCAATCCCAATTCGGTACTGCTTCATCTTATGAGGTTCTTGTAGTGTGGATTATTCTCTTAATCCTAGGAAGACATCTGGACTTCCTTTAATATTTAGGAAGCACAGGTTCCCTAGGCTCTCCTCACCCCAAGCAAGCCTGCTAGCTGCTGTTCTTGGCAAGGGAACTGGGAATGTGATGAATGATGATGTCTGCTCCAAAAATAAACTCTTCATTATTCCATTAGCTATTTTCCATCTCCTGCTAAGCCTAACAATTTATTAGCACTATTTAGGTTAATGTATGGCGATATTATTTTACATATTTACTTTTTGTACTTCATAAGGTGATGCATTTAGGTGTGAAAATCCTCTGAGTGGGTTTTCTGAAGTCAGAATCGGATGAGTTTGAGAACATTCTCTGTCAGCACTTGCGAGATGACCACTAATTCCCTTGTGCAGCCCCTTTCCTCCTCCAAAAGGGCTGAGGACACAATCATAAGGCCATAGTCAATCAAGTAGGTTTAAAATGTAGAGCAGCATTAGAGGAAACGTTTGTGCTTGCTTCTCAGTCCTCCTATATTGGAAGTAAATACTGTACAATATTTACTATAGAAACTATAGAGCCCAGGATATCCTATTCCTA